AATTGATTTCCACACCAGTGAAATCTGCTTACGGAATATATGTAGCATTTTTGTTAAATATAGATTGGAAAGTTTATAACTATTTGTAGACCTATGTAGAGGAGAACATATTGGGGTTTTTTTTATGCATCTTTCAGCATTCAGCCATGGTGGCCTTTTTAAATGTTTAATGTTAGATGTATTTAATATTTGGGTTTTTTTCTTTTTTGTATACATGGTTTTTTTGTTTTGCTGGTGTCAGATGTTTGTTAGTTTGTTTTTTCTTTCTTTTTCTTTGTTTTGTATTTTATATTTTGAGATAAAGAATAAATAAATATGTTTAGGACTAAAGGATTAGAGTGAGAATCTGTCTCCTGCTTCTAACAAGAAAAAAGACAAAATGGACAAAATCAAAGAGAGAAAGCCAAAGTATTTTCACTACATTGCTTTATTTCACAATCTCTTCTCATCCCATTTAATTTACACGTTGCATTCACCCTTCATACATTCTGACAATATATGTAAAAGTATCTCTACACAAAATCAATCTCCTTTACTGAAATACTATTCAGAAGAATATACCATATTTTTCGGACTATACCGCCACCCTAAAAAAGTGGGTGGAAATGTCTGAGAGTCTTACAGAGCGAATGTTGCCAAAGCCTCACCTACACACCGGCCCACACCCTTCAGCCTCTGCCTCTCAGCAATTTGCCTGCTTGCAGCAAACAGTCTGGTCAGCTTCAGCACAGCCTGATTTAGAATGAGCAGCTGATTGGTGGTTGGGTTGGCCTCCCAGAATACCAATGATCAGCTGTTCCAGGCTCTGGGGATCGCTGCCGCCTATCACCACCTCCATGTGCCCCATTTTTGACCTCTGCATGTTCCATTTTTGGCCTCTGCATGCCCATTTTCTGCCTCCACACGTCCCATTTTCCATGCATCCCATTCTATGGCAATTGGTTGTGGCAATCCTCACTGCTTGGAATGGACCGCAAATGGGACGCACATAGACCACAAATGGGGCACGCGTAGGCCAAAAACAGGACATGCATAGATAAAAAACGGGACTCATGGAGCCTGAAAATGAGGCATATGGAGGCAGCGCTAGATGGCGGCAATCCCCGCAGCCTGGAACAGCTGATCATCGGTATTCCGGGAGGCCAATCCAACTGCCAATCAGCTGCTCGTGCTAAATAAGGCTGTGCTGAAGTTGACCAGGCTGTTTGCTGTTTGCTGCAAGGAGGCAAATTGTTGGGAGGCAGAGGCAGATTTTTTTTTCTTGTTTTCCTCCCCAAAAGCTTGGTTCGGAACATCTTGTAGTCTGAAAAATACGGTATATATTGTATATATACAATATATATATATATATACTTGTAAATGTACTACAGTCATGTTCCCTGTTAAAACAACATTCCCGGCAACTCCATTGTTGGGCGAAGGCAGACAAAGGAGCACTGTACAAAAAAGAAAATGCTCACTGAATTGTACACATTGAGCTCCGAGGAGAGTGAACGCTTCTTGTTTCAGGCTCCTGGCTATAGTTTACAATATCCGCCCTCACTACATTCTGTCAAAAGAGAAGAAAAGAAAAACAGAAGAGGTTAAAGCAAGTGAATCCAAGGGGGGGGGGGGGCTGTTTCAAAGTGCTAATAAAATATTTCACAATAAAGATCATGCTATGAAATGTAGAGCATTAAAACAAGTCAGACATACTGCATTACTTTTCTCTCAGAAAACATGCATAAGGATTTTGACAAAGGACAAAATAAGAGCATCTTGAATGCTTTTATACATAAGCAATGGTGACAGTCCTGGCTTCTTTATTCCATTGAAGAGGTTCTAGCCCATAAAATTTGTCAGTTTCTTGGGCATTTTTTCTTTCCACTATTAATGAGTACTAATGTACACTTATCAAACAGGTAGTAAGGAAGAAGGGGAATGCAGACACAAAGCAGATTATGTAGAAAGTAAAGACAGGATCAGTCCAAAATGACTCAAATGTTTACATAGCAATGCACAAAATATGAGGAATAAACAGGGTGTCAGGGTTCCAAATAACATACTCATAGCAAACAAAACTCTGAGGCAGATAAATTCCTCAAAAAATAAGTTTATTGGATCTGTTGTATTGGCATGGACTGGTGAAAACTGATTCTGAATATTCCCATGGTTCTCACCTAATTAAAATTAAAAGTTTGTCAGAGTCTGAACCTAGAAGGAAGACAAGCCGGAACTGGAGTCAACAGAGATAAAGGGGGTGGCTTGGTTGGCTTGGGGGGGAAATGGGGAGGAGCAGGCCCAGTAAGGCCAGGGCCTTTCAGGATTGGGACGACTTGTAGGCAGGGAAGGAGAGGAACAGGATGACCATCTGGGAGCATTTGGGGAAATTTGGAGCAATAAAGGGGCAGCTTGAGCGCCAGCTGGCTGTGTTACCTGTTTCATGCCCCGGGTCATCACAAAATTATTTTGTTTTGAATATACTACCCTATCTATTCCCCCCTCCTTGTGATTTTACCTGATAATGTGTCCCCCACCATCGACAATTGGTTTTGGGGCTGCCTGATCTACCAGCCTGATCTGGGACCCTACTGCTGGCTTTAACAAGCTACTGTGAAAGACTGGGTGAACTTTCCCTAGCAAGTGGGGGAGTTTAAGCTGCACGGTAACAGGGTTTATCACTTTCACTATAGGAAAAGGTTCTATAAACTTTGGACCCAGCTTCTTGCAGGGTTTAATTTTAGGTATTTTGTGAATAGGCAGTCCTTGCTACCAACTTGGAATGGTGGATGGGGGGAGCAGTGTTTGTCAGCTTGACTTTTATGCTGCTTCCCATAAGGTGCACTCCCACACTTCCTTCAATGACTGCATCCATTCACTTAAAGACATGGATGAGGGAGGAGGGTTTCCGGGCAGTTCAGGCATGGGGACAAACTCCATGCTGGTGGTGACTTGGAAAGGGGTCAAGCCTACTATACACCTCATTATTGTATGCCACCTCAGCAAATGGCAGCAACTCTGCCCAGTTGGACTGCTGCTGGTTGACAGAACACCTTAAACATTGCTCAACCATGGCATTCATTCATTCCGCCACCCCATTTGTACTTGGATGAAAAGTTGACTGAGCCCCTCTGATGACTCAATGGATCGTATGAATTCCCTCCAGAACTTAGCAGTGAATTGGACCCCTCTGTGAGAAATGATTCTGCGGGGAACCCCATGCAGGTAAAACAGGTTTTACAAGTTTTATGAAAAAAAATGGCTAGTTTTTTCACGGAGGGAAGCCCAGGACCAGCTATAAAATGGGCTTCCTTTGAGAACAAATCTATCATGGTCCAGATGATTATATTCTCTCTGCTCTTAGGAAGCCCAACAATAAAATCCATAGCAATCTCTTCCCAGGGTTGGGATGGGTCTGCCACTTGCTGGAGTAACCCAGTGAATCTCCCTGGCCTTTTCTTCATGGCTGCACAAGTGGCACAACCTTTTATATAGTCATTTATGTCCTTCTTCATCTTTGGCCTTCTGGCCAAAAGCAGGGGCTTCAGGTAGCCAAAGTACCCTGCAGCTTAGAATCGTGGCTCTTTTGCAGCACTTGAAGTCACAGCTGTTGGCATATACAATTTGGACCCTTTCCAAGCCAGTCCATTCTTGAGGGTTAGTGCTCCCTTGTTGGTGCTTCCTTGTTGTTATACCATGGGCCTATTGGCAGCTCGTCCTTCAGTCTTAAAGTACTGTGCCCAGCGAACCTGTTTCAGAGAGTGTTAACGTCTCTAAGTTCTTATGATCAGTCCATACCTCAAATGGCTACCTTCAAGGAACTCCCTCCAGGTCAGTAGGGCCCATCGGACTGCATAGGTTTCCTTCTCCCATACCACCCACCTCCTTTCAGTGTCTGTGAGTTTTTTGGAGGTGAATGCACAGGGGTGTAAGTTGCCATCTGCGTTCTTCTGTAGGAGAACTGTAGTGACTGCAACATTGCTGGCATCAGCTTGGATGCTGGCAGTCTATCATGGTCTTGTGGAATTCACATTTGACAGCTTTGTGTACAGCTTAACCATGAGGAATTTGTTCAAGACCTGGCACACCAATTTCATATGCTCTTCTAGGGTTTCACTGAAAATGAAAATGTCATCCAAGTAGACAAGGACACCTTTATAGAGGTGCTCGTGCAGCACCTTATTTATCAGTGGCATAAAGATTGCTGGGGCTCCAAAAGGCATCACTGTTGCGGCCCACCAGCAGCCAGTGGAGCTGGCAGCAGATTCGGACATTGAGGAGGTTGGGGAGGAACATGGGCCAGTCCTGGAGTCTGGGGAAGGCTCTGACGAAGGCTCCGTGTTGGAGGCAGAGATGGGACCATGGCTGTCCGACAATTATCAGCTGCCTTTGGACTCAGACATCAGTGCGGCAGATGAACAGCTGGAGCCTGTTCCCAGTGTATGCATGCACAGAGTTGCCAGACAAAGGGAACAGCTAAGGAACAAGGGTCGACTTGGGAGTAAAGCCACAGGTGGATGGTGAATGGCCCCTCCCATAGGGAATAAAAGAGGAGCAAAAGGGGAGGGGTGTTTGCAGGAGAAAATTAGTTCATTCTTGCATTTTTCCCAAGTATTGCGGCATCTGAAAGATATCGACCGGACCACTCTCCAAGCCTGATAAAGATCAGTAATTGTGAACTATTTTGAAAGACTGTGGGCCGGATTTATATGGTCTAGAGTGTTCTTACCTCTGGTGGTACACTGCACATACTGCACAAATTTAGGGAGAACAGACTTTAGATAGGCTTGATTAAAATCCCTAATTAATCCCTAACTAATTTGTTAGATTAGTTTCAGGAGTGTGAAGATCTGTCCGTGAATCTCAGAGGCTCTGTGCCCAGTCTTTCCTTGCACAGCACCTCATTTGGAAAATATTTACATGGATCTTTCCAAGATAGATAAGGTCTGTAGTCATAAATATTCATTTGAAAGACTGTTTGCCAGGCCTTGCTAAATGTGAATGAGAGGCATTCACATTCATTTAATAAAAGGGGTTTTGTCAGGACCAGGACTCTGCCTCGTGCTTTTAGGGGAAGCCTAGGTCAGAACAGCATATAACAATTCAGTGAACAGTAACACAGGTTTTATCCCTTTCAAGGTGGCTATGGGGACAGAGTTTGTGCTTATGCCAGAGCTCCCACAGGGACCCCATCCTCAGTATCATTAGTTGATTAGATTGGTATTTTGAAAGCCATGTATGTGAGGCATTGGAGAATCAAGAGGCAAGCAGGTCAGAAAGGAGCCCCCAGAGAGAATTTAGAGTGGAGGCTATGGTGTATTTGGTCACGAAATATTTGAACCTGAGGCAACCTTTCATCATTCAAACTGACATGAATGATGTCGCTGTGGGGGCTATTAGTACAGAAAAATGAACATGGCTAGCTCCAACCCTGAATTTACAGTTCTAAAAAACTATCAGACACTGAACAAAGATGGGCAGAATGGGAGAAAGAGACTTATGCAGTGCGCTGGGCACTTTTAACCAGGAGGCTCTTCCTTGAGGAAAGTAAGGTGCCTCTTGAGGTATGGACTTATTATAAAGACCTGGAGGCACTAAAAATCCCACAGAGGCCCTCACCCAAGCAAGTGCAGTGGGTGCAGGGGGAACCTTCAATATTTAGTGGGTTGGAAGGAATTCCCGACACCCAAAATGAATAGGTTGACCACCGCCACATTAGGGCCTCTAGACTTTTTAAACGTTTTCATAACCAATAGTCTCATAAACCTAATTGATTTTTTTTTTGTTTTTATCTTTTTCTCTATTTATTTTGTTTTGTTTGTCGCTGCTCAGGGGGACAGCATGTTACGTCCACCATCCTGTCTTGCCATTCTGTTGGAGGGGAGGGAGGGAGGCTGGCATTATTTGCATGATTTCGCTTTTGCTGCAAGCTTGGGAATCTACGAGGGAGATTGTCTTCAGAGATGAAGCAGACGCCCTCACAGCCAGTTTCAGTCTGGTTCAATGGCTGTCTTGAGTGACCTCTTATCTGCCTAGCACCTCAACATTCTCAAAACAACCTTGCAGCATCACATTGGCTGTTGGTGGACTGGTCAATGGAGTTGGGTTTGGGGAATGAAAGAACTGCTTTGTGCTTTGCGCAGGAAGTTCAGATTCTGCCTGACTTTACTGCAACCATTTTCTCTCAGTAAATGTTCTTTTGATTCAGTTCAATGGAGTCAATAGTTTTACTTTCCTGAGGGACCAGCTGGGGCAAGTCCTTACAGTTTCCTATAACAAAATGAACAGATCCGATTGGTGGACGTTTTGGACTATGAGTGGCCTGTAAGAAAAGCTACGCTTGCTTTTGCGTGGGAAAACTAGAGCTAGTTTTGCTTCTTTTGTGCCATTGTGGTTTATTCAGTAAAGTTTTATACTCTTGGTAAAATGATGTCCCAGGAGTTTCTTTTTCTGGATTCACCAAATGGACAGTTGACAGTAAGTTTCTGTAAGCAGTGTCTAGGCCTTGGTTGAGCAATGCCTTGATTATAGCTTGCTGGAATATTGAGTCAAACATCTTTCGTAGTCAATGAAAACTTCATGGTGTACTCGTGTCTTTCAATGACTTGCTGAAAAATCTGGATGTGATTATGCTGTAGCTACTTCTGAACCATGCCTGCTTCTTTGACTGTACACCCTTTAATGTTCTCAATATTCTTTTTCCTATCATCTTGGGGAAAACTTTCTGGATGACTGAAAGAAGGCTTATTGGGCAATAGTTCTTTAAATCATCTTGCACCCATGCCTAGGTATTTTTTGTTCCCTGAGACATCTTGAGTATAGTTTTGCTAGTATCCTGGGTAAACCGTGACAACCAGCTTCCAGCATTTCAATTGTAATGCAGTCATTTCCTGAAGCTTTGCCATTTTTCACTGATTTATGGCACTCGATACTTCCTCTACTTGGATGTCTAGCATTTCCTCTTTCCTGGGTGTTGTTACTTTTGAGTGATCTTGATCTTTGTATAGCTCTGAATCGAATTTTCCAATATTTCTAACATTTCCTGTCTTGTTCTACACGCAGAGCCATCTTCATGTTTTAATGCAAATATCTTCTTTCTTGAATTTATAAACTTGCATTTTGGTCTATTAATCTCTTTGTTTTCTTCAATTGCCATTTTCACAAGCTTCATGTTAAACTGATGTGTTTCTTCTTGAATTTGTTTTCTTATGGTCTTGAAAAATTCAACGTACTCGTTTATTATTGAAATTTCTGGTATTCTTCATTGTCCATTGATTTTTCATTAAATCTATAGTTTAATCAGGGATTTTTGACTCTGCAAAGTAGTTTTCAGGCTGTGCTATAGATATAGCAGATTCAAGGAGGTTTTTTTTTTTTACTATTTGTTCATTTTGGTCCATAATGTTCATCTCTTCCAAATCCTGCAATAGAGCAAAGTGATTTGATAGATTAATTTCAAAACTGCTGTCCTCCTCTAACAGCTTATCACTGTTTTCAGTTTTCATGACATTTTTATCATTTTCATATGTTCTTTTTGACAGTCTTGTCTTTACTTTAGCTCATACCATTCTATGATCACTTTCAACGTTAAAACGATTGATGACAGTACAGTTACAGAATATGGTTTTATCACTTGACATGATGTCAATTTCACTTGTCTACCCAGATGGATTCTTCCACGTCCATTTTCTACTAGCATTTTTCTTGTAAAATGAATTCATGATATAAAATCTACTAGGTTGTTACCTCTATTATCTTGTCACCACTTCCATATGGGCCAGACGCTTTTTCTTCAGTTTTTGTTCTTCCTATTCTTGCATTCAAGTTATCCATTAGTATTTTGAATCAGCATTTTTCTTTTCTTGAAGGTAGACTATATTGTCATAAAACTCTCCGACCTCTCAAAGCTTATTGGTGATGCATAAACTTGAATGATTTGAAGCTTGTATTGTTTTTTGGGGCTGCCCCTGAAGAGTGTTCGAAGACTGCAGTTGGACCAGAATGCAGCCGCGCGAGCGATAATGGGTGTACCTAGATACACCCATATTACACCTATCCTCCGT